CCGCTGGTCACAGGTGCCCACTCAGACACCTCGCCACGTACCATGACTCGCTGCTGTCTTCCTGACAAGTATTCCCTGATCCATTGTAGTGCCTTCCCTGTTATCACTGCTTGGTCTTCCAGTTTTTGCACTAATCTCTTGTGTGGAACTGTGTCAAACGCCTTCTTGCAGTCCAAGAGTATGCAGTCCACCCACCACTCTCTCTCTCTTGTCTTACTGCTGTCACCATGTCATAGAACTCCAGTAGGTTTGTGACACCATGCTGGCTGCTGTTGATGAGATCATTCCTTTCTAGGTGATCCACCACTCTTCTCCTGAAAATCTTCTCCATGATTTTGCATACTATACATGTCAGTGACACTGGTCTGTAGTTTAGTGCTTCATGTCTGTCTCCTTTTTTAAAGATTGGGACTACATTTGCTGTCTTCCATGACTCAGGCAATCTCCCTGTTTCGATAGATGTATTGAATATTGTTGTTAGGGGTGCACCTCTGCTCCCTCTCTCAGGACCCATGGGGAGATGTTATCTGGCCCCATTGCCTTTGAGGTATCTAGCTCACTCAGAAGCCTCTTCACTTCTTCCTCGGTTGTGTGCACTGTGTCCAGCACTTGGTGGTGTGCCCCACCTCTCCGTCTTTCTGGAGCCCCTTCTGTTTCCTCTGTGAACACTTCTTTGAATCTCTTGTTGAGTTCCTCACATACTTCACGGTCATTTCTTGCTGTCTCTCCTCCTTCCTTAGCCTGATTACCTGGTCTTTGACTGTTGTTTTCCTCCTGATGTGGCTGTATAACAGTTTCGGGTCAGATTTGGCTTTCGCTGCTATGTCGTTTTTATATTGTCGTTAGGCCTCCCTTCTTATCTGGGCACATTCGTTTCTGGCTCTAGGACTGCTCTCCTTATTCTCCTGGATCCTTTGCCTTCTATATTTCTTCCATTCCCCAGCACACTTGGTTTTTGCCTCCCTGCACCTTCGGGTGAACCATGGGCTCATCCTGGCTTTTTCATTATTCCTGTTACCCTTGGGTACAAACCTCTCCTCAACCTCCTTGCATATTGTTGCTACATATTCTATCATCTCATGAACTGGCTTCCCTGCCAGTTCTCTGTCCCACTGAACCCCGTTCAGTAAGTTCCTCATTTCCGTGTAGTCCCTTTCCTTGTAGTTTGGCTTCATTCGTCCTGGCCTCCCTGCTTCCCCCTCCACTTGTAGCTCTACTGTGTATTCGAAGCTTAAAACCACATGATCGCTGGCCCCAAGGGGTCTTTTATATGTGATGTCCTCGATATCTGCACTACTCAAGGTGAATGCTAAGTCTAGTCTTGCTGGTTCATCCTCTCCTCTCTCTCTTGTAGTGTCCCTTACGTGTTGGTACATGAAGTTTTCACCACCTCCATCATCTTAGCCCTCCATGTATCTTGGCCTCCATGTGGCTCCAAGTTCTCCCAATCGATCTCCTTGTGGCTAAAGTTACCCATGTTCAGGAGATTTGCCCTACATGAGCTCTTCTGGCCACTGCAGCCAGATTGTCAACCATCGCTCTATTGCTTTTGTCGTACTCTTGCCTTGGCCTCCTGCTGTTCTGTGGTGGGTTATACATCACTGCTATTACCACCTTGGGACCTCCAGAGTGAAGTGTTCCCGCTATGTAAACACTTTCTTCTCCGCTGTCTCCTCTCTCCAGCTCATCAAAATTCCATCGATTTTTGATCAGCAATGCCACTCCTCCAGCCCCTCTGTTCCCTCTGTCTTTCCTCAGGATCTGGTATCCCGTTGGAAAGATGGCATCTGTTATCATACCTGTAAGCTTGGTTTCTTTGATAGCTACGATGTCCAGTGATGTCTCTTTGACTCTTTCGTGCCACTCCTCCCACTTATTTGTTATTCCATCAGTGTTTGTGTACCATACCTTCAGTTTCCTTTCCAACACTGTGGTTTGGGGGGCCTGTGAGGGCGAGAGACCTGGTAGCATCCTGTGGGATTCTATAGCTCGGTGTTGGGTGGAAGCTGTGGGTACGGATTGTAGTGTGTGTTGGGATGGTGTGATAGGTTGTGGGGTTCTGAGGATAGTTGTGTGTGTGCTTGCCCTTGCTGCTCTGTTCTGCTCTGACTGACCTCTGCTGGTTCCATCCTTGTCTCCTTTCCCAGCTCCTTTCGCTTTTTTGTCCTCTCCCTCAGCTGCTGTCGCTCTGTTTGTGTTCTGTCTCTGTCTAGGAACGCCCTCTTGTACTCTTCCAAGTATTTCAACTGTGGTTTCTCTTGGAGTATCCTGTTTCGAACTGTTTCTGTCCTGAGAATCAGCTTGATCGGTCGGTTTCTCCCCTTCGAGTACCCCCTTATTTTCTGAAAATTTGCAATCTCGTCCACCTCTTCTTCACCTATTTCCGTGATGATTTTCTCAATCTTCTTTCTTTCTTCCTGCCGCCTTTCAGTGTGTGTCCATTCCTCTCTCTCCTGAAGCCCATGGATAAACACTGATTTTGCCCTTTCCTCCTCCCATT